TCTCTCACTCGCTCGCTCTCACTCTCTCGCTCTCGCTCTAACTCGCTCTCTCGCTCTCACTCACTCACTCACTCTCTCTCTCTGTCTCTCGGTCCCTCTCTTCTTTTGACCACACAAGGCAAATTTTGTTTGTTTGAACTGCCTTTTTGCTCATTCTAACTTTGCTAGCTTTATCAAAAGCTCTTCCTAGGTTTTGTCCGACAATGCCGACAGGGTGAACAGCCCCGTCACCAACATCGCCAAGCTGCCGCTGAAAAGTGAGTTTTTACCTGCATTGCGCTGAGGCTGAAAAACTGGATGATGTCTCTCTTCGGTTGCATATTGGAATCTCTAAAATCTTCTATTCTTTAGTTCGAACTTTCATTAAAATTAAAATATGCGATGCAAAACCACACTTTGATTTTCATAGGTTTGGCGCTGAAACTGCGGAAGAACAGCGCCGCCCGCCAGAAGCGCATCGATGAGTCGTTCTCGATTGCAGCTCGCCGGCGGAATTCCGTCGAGAAGTGGGTTCCACCGTTTGTTGGCGGTGGTGTTTTTCCGACGTAACTGTCGTAAACCCGTTGTTCACACTTGTTCTTTATCGTCACACTAAATATCTCATCGACATTGTGGCCCTCTCATTCGCTTCGTCGTGTCGTGTCATTGGCCGGAATGTTGTGTTGTCTGGCTTATTCCGGACGGAAATCTGAGCCCCTTTCGCCCTTCCACTTCTTCTTCTTCTTCTACCAGCCACCCTAGCCGCCTCCCATTTCTCACGCATTATCCCCCCGACTTGGCATGTTCGGCATGTCGGCAGGTTGTCGTGGGAAATCCACTTGACTTCTAGCCACGCCGGCACATTTATGGAATTTTTTGAAAATTTTTTGTAATATTTGGATCTTTCAAATTTTCGGCCATCTTGCAGAGAGAGTCAAGTTTATCAAACCTACCAGCAACGGTTCTAACTCATTAGCAGGGGGGGGGGACCAAAAACTTTTTTCGTCATTAGTAGAGTAGGGCTTTTAATACTGTTTGTAGCAAAAATACAGCTAGATTTTAAGTGAAAAATTAGTAAATAAAAACCTAAAAAAATTTTTTAGTTGAAATTTTGAAGAAATCGGCCATTTTTGGTGGAAAAAATCCGACTTTTTCTGTTTTTGAATCAGAATTAAAGTTTTTACTTTTAGGACCAGTAAAAAGAATTTGCAGCCGCTTTTTCTGTTTATATTAGGAAAATTGGGTCCTAAGAAAAAAATTGATTACGGTCCCCGATAATGCGAGAGAGCCAAAACGGAATAATGTTTTTTATAAATTGTGTAAAAATTGCGGAAACGCTTTTAAAATAGTAAATGTCTAATTAGGGCCTGTGCCCCCCGCTAATGAACCAGCTTCCCAGCACCGACACGAAAGAATCTCTGCTGGTTGCCGTCTGATTTTTGAGCTCCGCCAATCGCTGAATTCCCAGACGAGTCACGAGTTGCGCTGGATAATGCGCAAGTCGACTCGGAGATTCGGGTTGTTCTCCGGAATCCGAGTCTCGCTCTCTCTCTTTCCGTCTCTCTCTCTCTCTCGCATCACTGAAACGGCTAGGCGCTCAATTTGAGCTGTTCTTTTGAATAGCCTAGAAAAGGGAGGGGGCAAAGTGTCGAGGCTTTGTCCCCTAGGAAGGGCTTTTCTGCCTCCCCCATTCCACACCAATCAAATCAGCATCTCCCCTCCTAGGCGTGTAATGGATTCCCGTGGAATCCGGCTACCAGATTTTCGCGCTGGTGAGGTTCCGCTTCCGTATTTTTGTCGAGTCGCTTCGATGGTATTTTATAGACTTTTCTAGTTCCTATAAAATCACCTAGCTCTCACTCTCTCTCTCTCTCTCTCTCTCTCTCTCTCTCTCTCTCTCCCTCTCTCTCTCTCTCTCTATTGCCTGCACTTTGCCTACCGCGATCCTCTCAAAAGCCAATAAAGTTCTGTCGGCGATCCATAGCCGAGAAAACTCATATATGGTCCCTTCCTAGCTCCTTTAATAACCAGTTGATTCGTGCTCCTCTTTGATCTCTCCCCCCATTAGAGTGTGTCGGGCTTGAATAATTATTTGAATATGTTCAAGCCCGCTCAAATAAATTATTTGAAGGTGCCTCTGGAGTTATTCAAATAATCGATCAAATAACGGATCCACATCCGCCCCGATTCAAATATATTTGAACATATTCAAATAAAGCCAAGCTTGCCGAGCCTAACAAAATTTTGAAATCCGCGGCCATTGAACCAAAGAGGGTCGTTTGTAACTGTTAGAATATCATCCTGGACCATTTTTATTGATGCTAAAATGCCGAAAATCGAAATGTCGGTGTTTTTCGGTATTTTTGGATTTTGCCCAATTTAACCCTTGGTGTGTTCAGCAAAACGCGGATATTCCAATCTGTTAGTCGCCAGAACGCCGACGGGAAACTGTCGGCATTCTGAAATGCCGACAAGCCAAAATGCCGACAAACTAAAACGCCGACAGGCGCGTTTTTTCGCCAGAACGGCAAATCTATCATCACGTATATACAGTAAATTCATGATGTCGGTATTTTTGTGTCGACATTTTGAATGTCGGTATTCTGCAATTCGGCACTGCGAACCTTGTCGACATTACGGCGTTGATATTTTATCCAAATCTTTCTTGAAATTTAACATGTTGCTATTTGAATGAATGATTTGCCTCCATTTTGTCAAAAGGAGAGCGATTTGAAAAAGCTCGGTCTTATTTGAACATGTTCAAATATATTTGAATCGGCGGTAAGGGCGAACGGTTATTTAAATAACCGTTTCGGATTATTTGAATAACCGTTATTTGAAGTTATTTATTCAAAGTGGATGTGTATTTGCAAACGACACACTCTACCCCCCATGCTCCATCGCATCAGCACAACCACATTTTCTGGTCGGCTAAGCAAAACTTTGGGACCGAGCCAGAAAGTCCAAGCATTCCCCATAGATTTACATTCCCATTTTCTTCTATCCACTCGTTTCTCAATGTCTATGTCCAATTACTATAATGACCCGACGCTACAGTACTATCACGACGACATGATGCGCGGACGGCCACCGAGGAGGATGGCATTTCGGTGAGCGGCGCCGGGGTGCTTCGCGTTATCGGGGGGTTGAATTTTTGCTACCATCCCAGCAACGCGTGGCCTATATTTCAAAGGCGTAAATAGGTAAAAAACGTGGAACTTTTTTTAAACGGCCGTTTTTGTCGGAAAATAAAAATTTTTGTAGTTATGAAAAAGGCATAATAACAACAATAAAAAAATAGTAGCCCTTATTCTGCTCATCTCATAAAATTGGTTCCTAAGAACGGAGCATCGGAAAAATCGACCCAAATTTTCTTGCGCGCTACCTTTAAAATCCGAATGTCTACAAAATTTGGTGACTCACAAAAAATGCGCGGACACCGGATCTGTTCCGGGATTAATGGTTTCTTCGCGGGGGCCACAAAATCCATGCATTGGATTTTCACGGGATTCGGAAATTTGTAGTGGGGGCCATCAGGAAGGAGGGCCATTCTGCTTCCATTCCTAGACGATTTGGGGTGCCCTGTTTTGCAAGGTTTTTACTAGGTTCCTGCTAGCTGCAAGCAGCCCATTCTTTCGATTTTCAAAAAAATTAATTTACAGAATTTCTCAAAAAACATTATACATCGACATTCGAATGTAGCGTTTTCGGCGTACTGTTAATTTTGTTTAATTACATTAATGGAAACGAAATTATTTAACTTATCAGGTTTTTGAAAGAATCTTTTTTTCGTAAAAGTATCTAGAAATCTTGCGTGGAATTTTTGGCAAACCCAAAAACGCGGGTCCCAAGTTTTTGGGTTACCACTTAAAAATTCGGCCAAGACAAAAAGATGTGGGCCCTAGGTTCCCATTTCCTTTAAAAGGCAAGTCTAAAGAATCGCTGAGATCCCCGGGAATTCAAAGAGGAGTGAGAGAGAGAGAAAGAGAGAGAGAGAGAGAGAGAGAAAGAGAGGGAGTGTGTTAGAGAAAGAGAGAGGGCGGAAAGAGACTGAGAGGTGGATTGTGTCCGAGAGTGCTCTCCTAGAGCAGAGAGAGAGAGAGAGAGAGAGAGAGAGAGAGAGAGAGAGAGAGAGTGAGAGAGAGAGAAGAGACCACACCAACCTGGCCCACCGTAGATTCCTCCCCAAAAAGAGCGTTGCAAGGCAGCTAGCCCTCCGTTGGCCATCTTCTTCTTCTTTTGCCGCCCGTATATTTGCTTCTTATTGGGGCAATTCGCTTTGGGCCCTAGGCTTAGGGCCCAGCCAGAGGGCCCATCCCTAGAAAGGACGGATTGGGAAGACCAAGTTCATCATCTATCCCCCCACCCTCTTTTTTGGGATACTTTCCGGATGGAAAAGTGTCGCTGCCGGGCGATAAGCTAACTCTGATAGACCGATCGGGAGGCTAATTTGTGTGAATATATGGCTATATGGGCCACTTCGTCGAATACCTGCGAACACAACTGTCTAGGGCGCTCGAGAGGCGCGGCGCCAGGAGATATCCGCTCAGGTAGGTGCATTAGTGGCAGAGAGAGAGGGAGAAGCGCATGGAAGGATCATTTCTTGTCCTTATCTTTGTTTGCTGATTATGCTAACAATTAATCTGGTTTATCAAAGAGATTGAATTTCCAACGCTACCGTAACGAAACCTACGGTAGACGCTGGTTTTCCCCACCGAACTGACAAGGTAATCGGTACTTTTCTAGTATCGGGGGATCATTTATTTCTGACAGCGAAATAACTGGAATCTTAATAGTCTTTCTATCTATATATCTCCCTCCCGCTCCCTCTCTCTCGCTTGCTCTCCCATCCGCTCTCGCTCCTTCTTTGTCTCTCTATCTCTCTCGCTCTCTCGCCCTCTCTCGCCCTCTTTCGCGCTCTCTTTCTCTATCTCCATTTTCCTCACTTTATCTCTCTCACTCTCTCTCTCTCTCTCTCTCTCTCTCTCTCTGTATCGATATGTCTCGCTTTCTCTCACTCTCTCTCTATCTCTCTCGCGCTCTCTCCATCTCTATTTCTCTCTCTATGTCTCGCTCTCGGTGTCTCTAGCTCTCTCTCCCTCCCTCTCTCTCTAACCCGCTCTCTATCCCTCAGGAGAGTCTATGCATTCTCTCTATTTCTCAATCATTTTTTGTGTTCATCTACCAAACACAAATCATTTTGTGAAGAAAATGCTGAACGTTTTAACCCCTCATTCCTCCTCCCCCCACCCCCGTAAAGCAATGAAATGAAAAGCGGAAACACGCTGAAATCCAATCCACCCGATCCCGTATTTGCATGTTTGCCGTCGGCACTTGACCCCTGGCGGTGGTGGGGCGGAATTTGTTGGATGTTGTGGCGCATGATGATGATGATGTGGTTGTGTCCCCTTGGCCGTCATTTGCCCTCACCACAATACTGAGCCCCCATCTACCGTATCCCACTTGCAGACCGCAACAGAATGGCGGAATCGAGGGTCCTGTGCAGCCGGTGTTAGCCCGAGGCGTCTGCATACATTCTGTTGGTGTATTCCAGTCAGCACTTCCGGTTGAGAATGGTGGGTTGTTTTTTTGGGCGAGAGAAAAAAGAGAGATGTAGAGAGAGAAAACGAGAGGGAGAGAGAGAGTGAGCGGCAGTGAGAGTGAGGTATTGATAGATAGAGAGAAAGAGGGGAGAGAGCGAGATCGAGAGATGGAGAGGGCGAGAGAGAGGTAGAGATAGAGCGAGAGAGAGCGCGCGAATGATCGGCATTGAGAGTCTGCGATCGAGAGAGAGAGGGAGAGAGGGAGAGAGAGAGAAAGAGAGAGAAAGTGAGAGCTGGCGGGAGAAGAAAGAGAGGAGAGAGTAGCAAGAGAAATAGAAAACTAAACCGAGAACGAGAGAGGAGAGAAATAAAGAGAGTGAGAGCGAGATAGAAAGTGAGAGATAGAGCAGGAGGGAGAGTGCCAGAGAAACAGAGCCATAGAGAGAAAGCGAGATAGAGCCAGAAATATTAGTCTAGCCAATGTGAGCTCTTGCTCATCCCTCAATGGCTCCCCGGCTGATCCACTAACCCCTATAGTTTATTATTGCTTCAGAGCCCCCTCCCTTTTTCTTCTCCTTGTTAGCCTGGAACTCAGAAAAGAGCACCAGTCTCCCCTCACCCCATTAACCTCCGCCCGATGGGTTGGCAGACAAATTTATGAGTTCCTGGGCCGGGGCCTAAAATAAAGGGAGAGCGGGGTGGAGGGAGAGCAGATGGGATTCGAGCAAGAGCCACGAGGGGAAGGAGAAGCATCTAAAGGCATGGAAGGCGAAAAGTGGGTCCCAGCCAGTTCCTCACGGGGAGGAGGAGCAGGAGGAAGAAGAGGAGGAGGAGGAGCTCCATCTGTTTTTGATCGCAGCCTTGTCGGCAAGTAGAGACAGAGGGACAAACACGGCATTCATTCCACGTGCCGATCCCCATCCGGTTCAACCAATCTCGCTATCGTTTTGCGCCCCAGCGATTTTGAAATGTTTTTGGACGGCGAATTACTTTGAATTTCACAAATTTGACGGATTTTAATTTTTTTTAATTTTCAACTTAATTTTTGTGGGCTTTGTATCGATTATTTGTTTAATTCCCTTCATAGAATTTTCTAGAAAGGTTTTCCTATGTTTTTGAGGCGCTTTCGCATTATCGGGGGAAGGGGGACAGTTTATCGGCGATCAATTTTTCTAAGGGACCAATTTGTCAAATATAAATAGAAGAAGCGTTTTAAATAGTTTTTACCATTCAGAAGCTTAAAAACACTACAAATTTATTAAAAACTACAAAAATATGGATTTTTCAACCAAAATCGCCTTTTTTAAATATAGTTAAGGTTTTGCTAAAGCACGATTAAGACACCTATTACTACATTAATAAACATTTCTGGTTTTATAGGAAACGATTTGGTCCCGATAAAACGATAGAACCTATATCTTGAAGGGTCAGCCTTCAAGGGAAAAATGGTTTTTCGCCAAACGATTATGAATTTTACGCTCTAGAACCTTCGTGAAGTGAGAGGCACCAAAACCCACTTTCGTCTAATCATCCCCAGATCGGGGCCTTTCGGAAACCACCGGAGAAAAATTGCCGTGGTTGCTGACGGTGTTGGGCTTCGGGATTATCCGCCCGTTCTAAATTCTAAATTCCATGTCAATACCAATTCCGCCGGCCTACGACGGTTTTTGGACGCCAAAATTGTTCTAGACCTGCCATAAGAGATTCGGTACTGGCCTGTTAGCGAGGGGGAGGGGCATTTACAGTCTTTTTCGGCCATTTATCATACATTTTTCAACAAAAATTCAACATGGATTTAACTTCTGCGATTTTTGATAAACTTTTTGTATCTAAAAACTGTGTAAAATTTTATAAAAATAATTGGTCACTAGGAAAAATTAGATTCCCCTATTTACCCCCGCTAACAGTGCAGTACCAGATATTCTTGGGCACTCGGAGATTTAGTAGTGTTGCGTAACATGTTGCCCCTCGTGTTCTGGGTACACGTTTCGAAGGTGTTGGAGCAAAGAGATTCTCGTTTTGCTCCCTAATTTATTCATTGCCCCCCCCCCCCATCTCATCATCATTTAGGGTCCCAAGTCGAGGTCTTTGGGCCCTAACGCTATTTGTTGGGCAATTACTCGCCCACGCATATTCTATTCTCAGTCGACAAAATAAATCTTCGTTTGGCCATCACGTTTTTTTGCAGTATTTTGCTCAGAAAATTCGGATGCACAAAGTGTGTATGGGTTCGCATCGCTTGTCAAAATTTTGGACCCGATCCGATAGGAAGGCCAAATGCCAAAGGGTTTGGACCGGTTTATTTTTGCAGAAAATTGTCGCTTCTGGTTCATCATTTCGTATTCAACCAGCCGCTTACAGGGCGGGTGGCGTTCGGCTAACCCCCCCCCGCCCCCGCGCTCCCCCTCGCCGAAGCGCGCGCCACCTGGCTCATATGCCCTAAATCGTGCAATTAGCCGCCCCCCCCTAAAGCGCCACTTTCAAAGTTAATTTAATAATTTAAACGAAAACCTTTTTCATCTTTTGTTTATCACTTTGTGGGTTTCTGACCACGCTCTATCCGAATCCCAAGAGGCCTAAGCCATAGCTCCTTTCCCCTTCGAGTTGAATTCGGCTTCAGACAGACCGACAGGCACCATATAGTTGATTTTAGGAATCATTCAGTGAGTCAGTCAAGCATTTACGGAATACCGGATACCGGAGGCTTAGAATAAAGCCGAGCCGATCCCCCCCCCCATGCGACCAAAAAACACGAGTGCACCTTCTTTCTTCACTCCGCCCCCCACCCCATTTTTTTGCGAGCTTCCTTCTCGTAAACAATTTACGGGCGCCGGCAACTTGCCCCAGATGTGCGGCTCCTTCTTCTTCGGCTTCTTCAGTGGCCAACTTCTCCGTTTCAACCCCCCATCCCGAGAATTTATCCATGGGCGGCATTCCGGCTTCCCCCCCCCCGCCCTTCTTCGGCCAATCCAATTCGGGAAGAGTGCCCATTTCTGCGGGGCATCTACCTTTTTTGCTGCTCCTCCTCTCCCCCCACTTTGGCCAATTTTTCCGCCGGCTCGTTGGTGCAGGACGGCCACCACCGCCTACGCACAATTTCTGCAAACTTTTATTGCATTTTTGGAGGTTTGTATGGGAGCTTCATGCAAACTGATTTCCTGTAATTCTTAAAGGGGCTCCGAAATCCGGCCCACGGCCCCATGCGTTGTTTCCTGGCAAATAGCCAGATACGCCTGCAACGCGACCGCGCCGCACGATCTTTTGTCCCTGTTTGGACGTGGAAACGCTTGAATTGAAAAAATTCCGACGCGATTTCTGGCATCCTCATCGAATTTTGATTATTATAGGCTTCTTTTTTAATTGTAAATTGACCATAGAATCACAGAGTTCAAAAGATTGGGTGCCTTACAGCGCATAACGACATGAAATCGTCGCGCACTCAAAACGTCGTTTTCGCCCCAAGAACATTTCGTTTTTACTCAAATATTTTACATTTTCCGCAACGAAATCAATTTTCTGGTGCTTCTCGGCAGTGACCGTGTCGGTTCTTGGCCAGTAGCTTCAATCCTTGCACGCACGAATTTTTGACTTCCGAGTCCCTTTAAAGCTTCAGTTTTAGCGCGTAAGTGGCGACGTTGCGTGTCGCCGGAGTGGCGAAACCGGTAGAAAATCATAAAGTTCCGTCAAAAGTCAAGTTTAGCAAATCTACGATAATCATAATACCGTATGCCCAAATTGAAAACAGGCGGCTCAGTTTCCGGATGAATAGCTGGGCAGCCGGGTATTGTCGGAATGAGAGTGGGCTGATTGTGTTTAATAATTCATTAGGCACGTGTACCCCCGGGGGCCGTTATTAATCTACCTCCACAGCCCCGCTCCTCCTCCAGCTCTCAGGCCCCGTTTTGTGAACATTCAACAACCTGGCCCGGGGATTCTTGAAAATTCGGGTGACTTTACTTTACCCCTTCCCCCCCCCCTTAACCGAAGGGTCTCAAAGTTTTCGGTATTTCGCTTATTTTGTCGGGATTTTGCAACGCGATTCGATAGACCGTCGAAAAATATACTAAGAATTTTAATTTGAGACTGCAATAATGTAAAATAAAAAAGTTATAGAAAAAACATTTTGACTGCGGGGTAGTACATAGTAAAGTGTAGCCATCATCATCAAGAATTTGAAATACCAACGTCGTCGCCGCGGGGCTCAACCGCGACGCTTTGACGCGATACGTCGATCCCTGCTTAATTTTCATCGCAAACTTCACTGCAATATTAATCTCGGCGCGGCCCGGCCAGGTGTTTCCGGCGTACGTGCAGCACCTACTTTCCCTTCTGCCTGGCGCGGATAATCCGCCAGTTTTTTTCAGCTGCCCGATTTTGGTTCAAACGGGATTTTTGGTGAATAATAATACAGCTACATGTAAGGGAAATTTTCGAAGATTGTAAGACTCCGGAAAGGGCTACATTTTATTTTACCCCCCCCCCCCCCTCCACCAGCCGGAATTTTTTGGCTATAACTTTTTTATTTTGCATTATCGTAGGCTCAAATTAAAACTTTTAGTATATTTTTTGACGCTCTATCGAATGGCGTTGCAAAAATCTTGATAAACTAGGCGAAAATCCCGAAAACTTTGAGACCATTCGGCTGTGGGGGGGGGATGAAGTAAACTCTTACCGGATAAAGGTTTTGCCGTGCTCACGCCGCCTAATACATTGTGCTTCCAGGGCAGGCCCGTTGCGTGTTGCGCAGCCCAAAAAATCCAAAGATATCGCCATCCATCAAAACCTATAGAAATGGATTGCCAATGCCTTTAAGAAATGCGTCAGCCATTGCTATGAATTTTCTAACATTTTTTCTGCCGTGACGCTTCGACTAGTGCATAGCGCGCTTTAAAAGGAGGATAAGCTGGTGAGGCACGGCAAAGCTCAAGGTTATTTCTTAAAGATCCCTCCCCACCCCATCTTATCCCAAACCCAGCTGAAGAACATTTCATTAAGAATGCCGGCGATGTGGGCTGTCAACCCATCTACTCCTTCCAGCCCCGATCGCCAATTGCCCCCCCTTTGCCTGTCCATAGGTGCAGCCCGTAGCCAGACCCACCCCGTTTCCGGAGGCGAAATGACCCCCCGGGATGGCTGCTTTTGGTTATCGAGACCAGCCAAACCTTTTTATATACCTTTTAGAACCTGAAAGTTTACATACCTTCAAAAAAGGTCTTGATAAAAACTTGGTAGGCATGGTAAATATGGACTTGTCGATTTTGGATCCAAAATGCAACGATTTTGGATTTTCGTCGCTCAATTTCGCATTAATTTAGAAAATCTCCGCGGCTGACAATTCCGAATAACCCGGCACGCGGTATTGAAAGGCATTCAAAAATCATTTCGGGCAAATCCCTCTCCCGGGGTCGAAATTGGTAGAATTTTCTGGATCTGGATTTTGCGGGCCGCTCAAGTCTAGTGCTCACAAACCCCTCACGATTAGAATTATCCTTAAGCTAACAAGGAGTGCTTTTTTGAATCTTCGGCAAAATTTTACGAGACCTAGCTCATTCGATAGAGAATTTAATTCGGAGCAAGACTCCGTTGTCCTTTTTTTGCGGAATGGCTATCCCTATTTTATAAATTTAAAATACTAGTGATCGTCTCTTACCATGAGTGTCTTCCAAGCAAAAAGAGTGGTTTTTGGGTGCAGTTTTAACGTTTTTTAAACTCAGGGATAGCCATTCCGCAAAAATGAACAACGGAGTCTTGCTTAGAATTTAATTCTCTATCGAATGAGCTAGGTCTCGTAAGGTTTTGCCGATGACTCAAAAAAAGCACTCCTTGTAAGCGGCAAATTTTCTCCCTAACGTCCATGACTGGCCATAGTCTAGCTATAACATTTTTTTCGTCTGCTTAAAACAAGGGTTGTGCGTTCCGGGTTTTGCCTGCTGGTTGAAGGGGAGGGGGAGCTTTTGATGGGTCTCCCTGTGGACAATCAGCCACCAGACTGGCAATGTCTGTCTGTCTTTTTGTCCGTGTATCCGTCCACCGATACCTTCCCAATGGCTCTGCAATATCCGATTACCACCTGTCCTTGGGCGCCCATCAACACAATATTCCCCCAAAGGGGCGGGGGGGGGGGCGGAATACGAGAAAACACGCCTACTTTAACTCCCCTTTTTGTATTCAAGATCTTTGTCCATCGTTCCAACTTGACAATAGGGATTATAGCTCTTTTGTGGCTACCAATTTTGATGTTTTCTTTGGAGTTCGCGGACTCTGTCAAGCCTGATATGGATTTTTTTGCCTAGTGATTTCCTAAAGATTTTGCCGCTACCGGCCCCTCTCTCCCGTCTCTCTGTCTCTTTCTCTCTCTCTCTCTCTCTCTCTCTCTCTCTCTCTCTCTCTCTCTCTCTCTCTCTCTCTCTTTCTCTCTCTCGTTCCTTCTCTCTCTCTCTCTCTCTCTCTCTCTCTCTCTCTCTCTCTCCCTATCTCTCTCGTTCCTTCTCTCTCTCCCTCTCTCTTTCTCTCTCTCCCTCTAGTTCCTTCTCTCTCTCCCTCTAGTTCCTTCTCTCTCTCTCTCTCTCTCTCTCTCTCTCTCTCTCTCTCTCTCTCTTTCTCTCTCTCGTTCCTTCTCTCTCTATCTCTCTCTCGTTCCTTCTCTCTCCCTCTCTCTCTCGCTCGCTCTCTCTCTCTCTCTCTCTCGTTCCTTCTCTCTCTTTCTCTCTCTCGTTCCTTCTCTCTCTCTCTCTATCTCTCTCTCGTTCATTCTCTCTCTCGCTCTCTCTCGCCCTCTCAGGGTAGCATCATGGATTTTGCCCTGACTCCAACACGACACGTGAACCCCGCATTTCATGGCATTTTTGATTCTCTTCCAAGATTTGGACTGAATCGAACCGTTGTCACTCCGTTGCACTTTGATCATCAAGTCCAACCCAAAAAGTCTAGTCACCCCAAATATTTACGCGCAATTTGCAGGGCTGGTGACGGCGGGGAAAGAGATGCACCGGCAATACACAAATCAGAGCGGCAGCGAGGCCGAGGAGTTCACCCAGGAGGAGCTGCAGGAATTCGCGCAGGCCTTCAAGGTTTGTTCGTACAGTTTTGATCAGTGTATCACGATTTTTGTACCTTGGTATTTGGCCAAATTTAGGCGGCTTCTAGCACCTTTTTTTGAGGATCGCCTTTTCCCAAAAGATTGGCATTTTTGCGGTAACCCATATATAGGCACAAGAAAAATAGCACGGAGAAAGGTTTTATTGCTTGCGCAAAAACCTAAGCCAAGCCTAAGCCAAGCCTAAGCCAAGCCTAAGCCAAGCCTAAGCCAAGCCTAAGCCGAAGCCAAACCTGAGCCGAAGACAAGCCTAAGCCGCAGCCACGCTTAAGCCGAGCCTAAGCCGAAGCCAAGCCTAAGCCGAAGCCTAAGCTTAAGCCGAAGCCGATGCCCAAGCCTCACCCTAAGAATACTTGGTGCATTAATAGACCATGCCTTGCCAGCGACCGCAAAGAAATCTTCCAAAAGCCTCGCCGCTCCGCAAATCCCATAATTTCCTTCTCAATCACATGCTCTTTATCCCATCAATCCCCCCGGGGGTCGTCCACGTGAACTCGTCACCATCACCACGATTCGGAAAGGATCGCGTGAATTTCGGGGGTCGCCGGCCGGCCAGACAGCTGCTGAAGGTCCGGGTGGCCACACATTGAGGGTTAGACCGGGTTTCCTCCGTTGATTTTTGCGAACCATCAAAAGCCCGCCAGGGGCTGAGGGGTGTGTAACCCATAGCCGCTTTTGCCAAACCGACCCCGGCAAAAAACGACGGGCCCCCCGGAAACGGCGTGTCGAAAATAATAGCTCTTAGGCTGGGGACGGGGTAGAGATATTGATGGGGTTGATGGGGGGAACGGATAGGGGTCAGGGTTTTAAGCCTAAGCCATGCTTAAAGCAGGCTAAGCCCAAAGCAAGCCAAGCCTAAGTCTAAGCTCAAGCCAAGCCCAAAGCAAGCCAAGCCTAAGTCTAGGGCTAAGTCTAAGCCTAGGCCTCGGCCTAAGCCCGACGCAAGGGCCAAGCCTAGGCCTAACTCTAAGCCCAAGCCTAAGTCTAAGCCCAAGCCCAAGCCAATCCTAAAGAAAGCCAAGCCTAAGTCTAAGCTCCAGCAAAGCCTAAACCAAGCCAAGCCTAAGCCTAAGCCTAAGTCAATCCTAAGCCAAGCCAAGCCTCTGATCAGGATCGGAAATTCAGATGTTCAACCCCAAAATATTGCAGATGTTCGACAAGGACGGGAACGGGACGATGAACATCAAAGAATTGGGCGTGGCGATGAGGACGCTAGGATTGAACCCGACGGAAGAAGAGCTTCTCAATATGGTTGGTCGTATATTGCTAGCGAGTAACGGGGGATGTTCAGGTGAATGAATACGACGTCGACGGGAACGGCAAGATCGACTTTGGCGAGTTTTGCAAGATGATGAAGGAGATGAACAAGGAGACCGACCAGGAATTGATACGACTCGCTTTCAAGTATGTTTTGGGATTGTCCGGGAGCCCGAATCATTGAAAACCGGCTCAGAATGTCTTATACAAAAACAGAAAAAAAACACAAAACTAAGCGAGGTTTTCAGGGTGTTCGACAAAGACGGCAACGGCTTCATCACGGCCCAGGAGTTTAAGCACTTCATGACGACGATGGGTGAACGGTTTACGGAAGAGGAAGTAGATGAGATTATTCGGGAAGTCGACAAGGATGGAGATGAACAGGTAAGCCACAGACAAAGTTTGGCAACGCTAAGCTACCTAAGCCTAACCTACTTAGCTAACCTACCGATCCTAAGCATAAGCCCAGCCCAAGCCTAAGCCAATTCCAGCCTAAGCCAACGCCAAGTCCAGCCTAAACCGAAGCATAAGCCGAAGCCTAATCTAAACCTAAGCTTGAGCCTAGGCCTAAGCCTAACCTAAGCCTAAGCCTTGTTCTAAGCCTAAGCTAAGCCAAAGCCTATGTTAAGCCTACGCTCATCCAATTACAACTGATTTACAGATCGACTACGAAGAATTCGTGAACATGATAGCGCCAATCGTGCAAGAGGGCAACAAGGACGACCCATTTGCCGACCCGGAAAAGACCAACCAAGACGACCACAAAGAGACCAAACCCGCCAAAAAGGGACACAAATGAGTGCGATGGCCATCTGCGCCTCCACCCTCTTCCTCAACGTGTACTTTTTAGACTAGACGATGATCCTCAAGAATACCCGGCTATATGTGTAAGTAACTCTCATTGGCGCGCGGCCAATTCCCGATTTGCGAGCTTGCCCCTCAGAGCTTTGCGATATTGATGCTCTTCTGCTCTCCTTACATTCCACTGCATCTCAATGTGGTTATCGGGGTGCCCGAAATGATTTTTTGCGGTACTGGACCGTTAGCGGAGGGATTTTGCTGCGAAAACCAAATTTTCCAAGTAGTCCCGTATGAGACGAAATATCCCGATTTTTACAACATATTACATAGCCTTTAAACATAAAAATGTATAAAATTTTGGCAATTTTGGGAAAGTTTTGGCTTGCTGATCAAAAATCTATGAAAAATGGCCAAAAAGGCGAAAATTTTCGAGTTGTAACCTTAAAAACAATTTTTAGTGACTTTCTAGCAACCAAAAACCACTAAAATTACGATAAAATACATTATATATTATCGACAGGTAGGTAAAGCGGGAAAACAAGCATTAGCCCACCCTCCGCTAACAGTCCAGTGCCTTTTTGCCACAAGTTTTTTTACTAAAACCACCATTCTCGGCACCCTAAAAACTCACATTTCCCAACGAATCTCTCAACGTTCCCCCCGGTGCTACCCCCCGATCTAAGGGCTTGCCATATAATAAAACCTAAAAAAGGCTTGAGAAGTCGGACTTTTTTTTGCTTAATCAACCGAGCTTTAAAACCACCCTAGGCGCCGTTTTACCCCATGCATCAAATTAAAAATGCCTATAACTAGCTTATCCCCGCAAAAATCCCCCTCCCCCGGCGATTCCATTGTGATACGATTGTAGAATTCCATATACACTCACTTTTAGCGGTTGTTTGGGCCCCCAACATTTTTTTCTAGCGTTTTGGAAGGAATTATGCGTTGCCCCTCCACAATCGATACATTCCTTGAATAAAGAAGTTACTGTAAAGCGTAAAACGACATTATAAACGAAAACCGCAAAAATTGTGCCCTGGAAACCATCAAAAAGTGTCGTCAGAGAGTTGTGAATAATCAACCACACGTCAGTCCCGTCTTGAAAACTCATCAGCCGACACGGCGGGGGGTCGAACCGGGGAGGCGCGCTCCGTGGTTCTGCCCCACTCGCAATGGACTACAGTGGTAACGGGGAGAGGGGGTCAATGGCCTTCATCAACCGTCCCGAAAGCGCGGGTGGGGTCTGGATTCGGAGTCTAACTTTGAATGGATAAATAAATGGATTAAAAATAATAAAATTGCTAAACAATCAAATAAAATACATCATAAAACCAACCACATTATATTAAATTTAACGAGATCGAAGATTCCCTAGTTTTAGACCATTGCCGTTCAAAGGAATTTTCGGCTAGTTTTGTACATTTCGCGAATTTTTTGTTGAGCGTTAGTAGTGAATCTTTGTTCCCTGTGCAACCCGTTTGTTCTTTAATGAAAAATTTGATTTTATTTCGAAAAATTGTTAGCAAAATGACCAAAATGTCCACTTTTTCAAACACGGTTCGAATTTTTAATGAATTATCTTAGTATGAATCGCGCCAGGTTCCGAGGTTAATTTTTAAATTCCTGGGTTCAATATTAGCATATTTAAAATATAAACTAGCCTCTTGTTAGAGCGAGAAAAAGGGACCATCTTTACTTTCGGCTTAAGTGTAGTCCCCCCCCCCCCCAGCTGACCCCGACCTACCGTATCCCGGTTCCCTGTTCGTCTACAGGCGTGTAAAGTATACCAAAATAGTCGCCAGAGCAAGACCAACATTTTGGTATACTTTACACACCTGTAGATGAACAGGGAGCCTAGATACAAAAGTTGGGTGCCGGCTGGGGGATGGGGGATCAACTGCACGTTAACCATACTTTCCCTATTTCTTGCTCGATAATTTCCTTGCAGTCGTCAGCGACAGCCACTTGCCGAATTGTCACTAAATGGTTGCCCGGTCGAGAAGAAGCGTCATCCGGAAAAGCCGCTCTGTAAACGGCGCGATAAGCTTTCGACACCGGGCCACTCGATTGCACATCGATTTTTGCGTCTTGCCCTTTGTCCGACGATTCCTTCGATCCACCATCATCACCCCCCACCAGCAAATATGACAGGTTGGTTGGGCGATGTTTTAATTTTGATTATTATTATTATTATTATTCACAATACTAAAATTTATTGCAAAACTTTATTTTGCCTCCAGCCGAACGGCCGCAAATTTTTCGCAATTTTTCAAAATTTTGTTTATCTTTTTGCCATTTGATATAACTTTAACAAATACGAAATAAAATACAATTAGCTTTCGAATTTAGGCTTAAAATCATGAGATATAAAAGCTTTTCGAGCAAAAACAAAATTAATGCGTAAAATTTCTCAAACGTAATTTTATGGCATAATTTTTATAATGCAATTTTTATAATAGAATGCACACTTCCTTTCGTTTTTGTCTCTTTATTCGGTTTTAATTAAAATTATCTTTGATTTATTGCTTTTTGGTATACAAATCTTTTTTGTATATTTCAGATGACGCACGCTACGAGACACACGTCATTATTTATCGACAGCAAAGATGCGATTTTGTTTTGCCGAGGTATGTTGGGGGAAACATCGATTTTACCCTCGCTAATTTTTTTTGAGCTGCTCTTGGGTTCAAAATTGAAATACTTCGCTTGTTACATTTGGCGGATTTTCCTCAGATTTTTGTGAATAATGCTATTGTTTCAGGCGCTACCAACAGCTAACGTACAAAAGCGCTGGTGCGCAAGGATGGGTGGTTGCGGCGGTGGATACGGTGTTGAATCGACCGGTGGCCATCAAGAAGATGCGGAACCCGTTTGTGATGGAGATCTCGGCGAAGCGGACGTACAGAGAGTTTGTACTGCTTGAAGCGTTCAAGCATCCCAATGTGGGTTGAGAGTTTGAAGGCTTATGCTAGGGCCATGGGTTTAGGGTTCTCCAGGCCTAAGTTTATGCAAATGAGGCTTCGGTCTGACGCTAAGCTTATTTTTATGCGTGGGCTTCGTTTAGGCTCCGCTTGGCTTACAAGCTTGATGCTTGTTAGCTTTATGCCTACGCTTATTATTAGCTTAGGTTCAGGCTTAGGCCTAGGCTTCGGTTTGGGCTAGGCGTAGGCTTAAGCTCGAACTTAGGGTTAGGCTTCGGCTTAGACTTGGGCTTAGACTTAGGCATAGGTTTGGGCGTAGGCTTGCGCTTAGGCTTACGCGTAGGCTTAGCTAGGCTTGAGCTTAGGCTTCATTCCTCGATCTTCAGATCATCGCCCTGCTCAACGCGTTCAGCCCCCAAACTTCCGCCACCCAACTGAACGACATGTATTTTGTGATGGAGCTCGCGGATTTCAACTTGTCACATGTGAGTAACAACGCGATTTTTTACAAAGCGGAATTATACTTTTTCAGGTGATCCGTGAGAAGCGACTTCCCCACCCACATCTATCCTTCCTTATCTTTCAGCTTTTATGCGCAATGAAGCATCTCCACCGGTCCGGCATTATCCATCGGGTAAGTCAGGCATTTTCGGAATTGCTATACCTAGCGTGGTGGATTGAAAACTTGTGCTTGTAGCGTTTGACTATATCGGAAAACTCCTACTGCGTTTTAAGGACCTAAAACCCGAGAATATTGTCATCAACGAGGACGTGACGCTGAAGATTCTGGACTTTGGGCTGGCACGGCGCACGCCTTTTGATGCGCAGATGCGGATGACAAATTACGTTGTCACAAGGTGGGTTGGTTTTAAGAATCGGCAACGGCCTGGCTATGGAGGCACGGCACGTAACGTGTGCGTCGCCGTATCCTCAGAAAAGTGGCGTAATCGATTAGGCGAGCCAAAGCGGATAGGAATAGGATAGGATCCATAACGATCAAATCCTATCTCTCGCCTTCCATTGCGTAATCGATTACAGCCACTTCTCGGCTGAATTTGCGTATCGTGTGACGATTTTATTGAATTCAAAGCCAAAACACCCGGCAACACTTGACTTCACTCCCTCCAGCCGGAAGTTTTTAGCTATGGATTTTTTATTTTACCTTATTGCAGGCGCAGATTAAAACTCTTCGTAGGTTTTTCGATGTTCTATCGAATGGCGTTGCAAAAATCCCGAGAAAATAAGCGAAAATACCGACAACGTTGAGACCCTTTGGCTGGGCGGGGTAAAGTAAAATTTTTGCCAAAGACCCATAGAAACTGCCTTGAAAGGGCAAAGGGCAAAGGTCAAAAAGGACCCCGATTTAGACTTATCCACATAACAATATCTCTAAAACTGTGAATTTTAGATGGTATCGAGCTCCGGAGGTGATTCTCGAGATGGGCTATAATGAGAAAGGTGTGTTTTCGATCAAACTTTGTACATTTTTTAGTTGATGTCTGGTCGATTGGTTGTATTTTTGCTGAAATCCTTACCCGGTAAATCATAAATGTGGTTCGGCAGCGGTTTGTTGATTTCAGGAAGATCCTGTTCCCCGGGACCGACCATCTCGACCAATGGCGCAGTATCGTCTCCAAAATGGGCACCCCACCCACATCATTTATCGACAAAATGACGAGGAATGTAGCGTTGTAAGTGTAAACTAGAAATTTATCCGTACATTAATGGCAATTCCGCGATTTTCAAAACCGCAAAGAGCCATACTTTGCAGTTTTGTTCGATCCCAGCCCAAGCAGACGGCCAAATCATTGGAGGAATTGATACCCGATTCGTGCCTGCCAAATGAAAGCGAGGACCCGGCCCATTACTTGACAGGTCGGTGGTTTTCGCATTCTTACAGGGACTCGGAAAGCAAAATTCGGGCTTAAGGGGATTGAACCTACTGGACAAAAAAAAACGAAAGGTTCACTGCCGAGAAGACCCAGAAACGTGATTTCGTCGAAAAAATGTAAAATATTTGAGTAAATCGAAAAGTTCTTGTGGCGAAAACGAAATTTGGAGTGCGCGGCGATGACATGTCGTAATGCGTTGTAAGGCATCCAATCTCTGGATCTGGGAGATTCTCTGATCAATTGCATCATTAAAAGATCTAGAATGGCCAAAATTCGGTGAGGATTCTAGAAATAGCTTTAGAATTTTTAAATTCAGGCGTTTTCACGTCCAAACTAAGGCAAAAGATCATGCGGCGCGGTCGCGTTGCGGTTGCATCTGAATATTTTCCAGGAATCAGCGCAGGGGGCCGTGGGCCAGGCTTCGAGGCCCCTTTAAGGCGAGAAGGAGGGGAGATCTTCAATTTTTACTTCACCTTATTTTCATTTTTGAACTCAAAATTGTTATTCATCAAAGGATTAAGCATTCAGATCCACAAGCTAATTGCGTTGCTTCAACCGCCAGAACCCAGTGTAAAATCGCTTGTTTAGCCCGCTACGCCCGGGACCTGATCAGCCGAATGCTGGCCATCGATCCGGAACAAAGAATTTCGGTGGAAGAAGCACTTCGGCATCCTTATGTTGCTGGATGGCTTAAGGTCTGTCGTCTCATTTTGCCTTTTCCACGCCCAAATGGTGTTTGCTAGCTTGCCAGCTAGAATCAACGTAAAAATTGCTTGATGCTAAATTGTTTACATTAGCATAATTGTTACGGTTGATACGGTTAATAATTGTTACGGTCAGCTAGCAAAGACGATTTGCATAAAAAAGTTGAAAAAGAAAAAATGGAATTTCAGCAGCACGACATCAACCTGCCGATCACCACCCATCGCTACGATGATCAGATTGAGCTGGAGGAGCGGAGTATAGCCCAGTGGAAAGGTAGAAATAGTTTTTGGGGGCCCTGAAATTTGCTCCAAAACTAAAACTTGCATTTTTCAGCAATCATCTTCGACGAGTTGCAACGGTACGCTGCAACTAATGACGTTTTCGGCGGGATCACCGGGACTGCCGTGTAAATACGCGGATATTGGAACTAGAATAAATTTTCGAACAGATATGGTTTGGCAGCAAAGAAAAGCAATAGTGTGAGGGCGTGAAAGAGAGAGAGCGAGAGAGAGGGGAGAGACACACACACAGGGATACAGTAAGATAGAGCTAGATAGAGAGAGAGAGAGAGAGAGAGAGAGCGAGAGGGCAAGCGAGGGAGAGAGAGTGTCAAAGAGTTTGAGAGAGGGAGCGAGAAAAAGGAAAGAGAGCGCAAGAGAGAGCGAGCGAGAGAGAGAGCGAGAGATCGAGAGAGAGTAAACGCTACACAGTAACCAACCAGCCACGTAATACTCCTCGAAAACCCGTGATAAATCTATTCGGAAGCGCAACATAATTTCCTCGCTATTCTGTGACCTTTCCGAAGATACACCCACAGGATAATCATATGCCAGCTGTTTTTTCGCTCGACAACTACCGTACCCCCGGCTGCTCCATTTCCCTCCAGTCCCCCACCCTGCAATTATCTACGCTTTCTGTTTTCGAAGGACCAGATTCGAGTGGCACGTGCCTCTGTAGTCTCCTCGCCTTCTCCTCCAAGGCCCAATTAATTTGAAATAATTAATGAGGCGATGAATAGAAGACTCAGGGCTCGGGCTCCCCGGCTCTATTCATCGTATTGTCGCCGCATTCGAAGCTGGGAAAGTGGTCCGACGCCTTGAGACTTTTCAAGTCCCCCGGCCTTGACTTTGCGGCCTCGTGATCCTGGGGTGATCTCGCGAGCTTGGAAGGTTCAGGTAAATAGGTTGAGAGTATTCTGCAGTCTTTTCTGATCGTTCAGAGGCCAATCTATTCTATTCAGCTGGTTGTTTGGTTGCAGGTTTGAAGGAGAGGTATAAAAGTGGTTGGCTGCTTGCCAGAATTCACAGCTTGACTTTTAAAGGTACCCGCAAGGCAAGCCCTTGGGCTTCCAGGTTCTTTCGGATGATCTGGAGGGACTAAATTTTTCATATACGTCCAGAATTACCTAGTAGCGTAATAGGAAATGTTTTGATAGGGCGCTTAACAAAATTTGGCCGTCGATTAAGTGGAAAACAGTTTTTGTATTTTTAGTACCGAAATTCGTTTTAGCCAAGTCGTTTGCCGTTTAGGAATGGTAAGAAACAGTTTAGCAACAGTGCCCCTATTTATATTGGACAAATTGGCACAGTAGAAAGTTACGCCTCCCCCCAATAATGCACAAGAACCGATTTACATTGCGTAGCCGTACCGTAATCAATTACGCAATGGAAAGCTGTACGCGTTACGTAGCGTATTATATTTTTCAAGGATTTTTTGGTATCTATATTCCAAAATATCTATTTTTTTAATAGATTTTTGAAGTTTAATCATGTCGATAATTTCAGGTTGGCCGGTGTTATCATAATGTCATCGGAACTTTTTTTTTGGGTTTCTCCAGGCTGCGATTCATAGAAAATCCATAGGCCTTGCCGGCCCCTTTAATCCACAAATCTCTTCACCCCACCCTTCTGCAGCTGCACCGCCCATTTTTTGAGTCATTTTTTGCGGGTGACAATAGACCAAGGGAATGTATATGCATCTTCGACTTCCCCGAACGTAGAGGCGAAAATTGTGCCAATTTCCGCTCCGTGTCCGCCCCATTACACGCCGCCGAAGGGCATAGAAGCGCGCAAAAAGGGCTATAAATAGGCATATGAGAGGGCAGTCCATGGCAGCATAACGGCCACTAATTTCCACTTTATAATCCCCATTTATACCGTAATTTTTGGGGGTGGGGCGAGGGTGGCGTTCGGCAAGGTTATTTTTCTCAATAATACTGGGGTCTGAGGACGAAGAGGCTTCGGTTTGGAATTGGGTTTAGGCTTAGGATTAGACTTCGGCGTGCTATGGGCTTAAAATTGGGCTTAGGATTAGGTTAGGGCTTGGGCGTGGCTTAGGCTTAGGTTAGGTTTAGCTTAGACTTAGCTTAGGCTTTGTTTAGGTTTAGCTTCGCTTAGCTTAGGCTTTGCTTAGGCTTAACTGAGGCTTAGTTTACGCTTAGGCTCAGCTTAGGCTTAGTTTAGGACTAACTTAGGCTTAATTTAAGCTTTGGCTTAGCTTAGGCTTTTAATCAGGTTTGCCCCTTACAGGCTCCTTTAAAATGCACTTGCCTCTCTTTCTGACGTCACGCCTGCCTAAACCCCATGCTGTTCCAACACCACACATAAACTCTGAAGAAAGCATGACTTCCACGACTTTCCTACCCTGCTAGTTTATGTGCTGTGGAGGGAGGGCGCTGCTGTGTGAACTTTCCCTGCATGCAGCTTGTTTATATCGGGGCCACGAGGCGTGGGGGGTCCATGGAAAAGGGGGGAAATTGAATGGGCAAATTGCGAATTTGTACTCAGCTCTTTTTTAGTTATTTTTATTTATGCTAAATTGCAGACGGGAAGGTACAGCCTAAAAATCATCGATCATTCATTTGGCAAAACATTCTAGCGCCGTGAAATTATTGAGGGGCGCTTTTGCATTAGCCCGACAGGACACCGAACTTTTGCTCCACCCCCTTCCCCCGGTAACGCGAAAGAACCGACGGGGCTTCCAAAATCCCGATAGCCATAATCCCGACAGCGAAAAAATACCGACAGCCAAAATTCCGACAGCCGTAATTCCGACAACCAGACCCCGATTTTAAAACCATTTATGGGTAAAATGGTCGAAAATATCACATTTTGGCTGTCGGGGTTTTTGGCTGGAATTCACAACAGACAATATCCATAACCGTAACCTCTAAGCCAGTCCCGTCCCCACCCCCGTTTTGCGGTTTTCCATTTGTCGGGGGGATAATCCATGTGTCCTTTCCCTTTCCCATCCCTCCTTGTTGACAGGTATTGATGAGATGGACAAGCACAAAACCCCCAGGGCTCACCACAAAAAAAACCGGAGAACCGTGTGCATCTCCGGCTAAAGAGGGTCGAATTACCCGGGGGGAAGAGCGGCGGGACTGGGTGAAAAGCCGTGTGGCTTCTGTCGCGCCATCCTTCCGCCCTACACGTCTTTCCTGTGTACACCCTGTTTTGTGACCGTTTGGAAAGTGGTCTCTTCAAAAGCGTTGGCTTAGCATCGTTCGAGTCTCGGCATATTTTTTGAGTCCGCGTCGGTTACAGGATTTTTTGAGACTTTATCTTCAGCAAAATTAGAATATGCGCTTACGGGTCCATTTAAGGGGACCGGAATGGGGCGATCGTTCCTGTAGATCTGTATCCAACTCCCTAGTTACTCACTCTCGTTCTCTCTCGTTTTCTCCCCCCCCTCCTTCTCTCTCTCTCTCTCTCTCTCTCTCTCTCTCTCTCTCTCTCTCTCTCTCTCTCTCTCTCTCTTTCTCTCTCTCTTTCTCTCTCAGTCTCTCTCTTTCTCTCTGTTGCCCTCTCTCTATCTCTCTCTCTCAGTCTCTAGTCTCTCTATCTCTTTCAAGCTCTCTCTCTATCTCCCTCTCTATCTCCCTCTCTCTCTCAGTCTCTCTCAGTCATTCTCTCTCTATCTCTCTGTCTTTCTCTCTCTCTCTCTCTCTCTCTCTCTCTCTCTCTCTACTTCCTCTCCCCCAGATCAAATTCTCGAGGTGCTAAACCCAGAGCCCCTCGTCATGCGTTCTCCTAAAGTTACCTGCCAAATTTTTCCATGCCCTTCCCACTGCTTCCTATTTTGCAAACCGTCTTCTCTAGGTCTCAAAGATTTTTCGCTGTTTCCCTGATCCGCAGAACTCTACAGCACTCCATGCCTATACCTCCTTTAATTTTAATATTCCTACCCTCGATTCCCCCAATTTTGTTCAGCTGATGGTAAATAGTCAGCCTCTTTTTCCAGCTGCCCCAGTCCCAGCCGATGGCCTAAACAAAAACGAGCGCGAGTAGTTGAATACTGGTGGCCGTAGTAGGTGGGGGTGGAAGAACGAAGCCGGGGGCATTTTGGGGGCTATTTGTTTTCCTTCTACCTTTCCGCCCCCCAAAAAAAACACAAAATAGAGGACAGCAAGCAAAATACTCGCGTATTACTGCACCGCCGACAAATTGTGCGTGAGAATCGGCGGGGGCTTTTCCTTTTTGGCGCTGCGTGTGTATTTTGAGGGGAATTGGGCGATTTTGAAGGAAAGACAGACGGACGGACACGTAGACAGGAAAGCCGGGGAATTTTTAGACGTGTAGGGAGATAATGTGGAAAAACACAAAATATGCAGTAGTCTGGAGTGAGCTCAGGCCTAAAGCGTAAACATAATTCCACCGGTAAGCTGATTGAATACCTAAGCTTAGGTCAAGCGTAAGCCCTTAACGTACGGTAGCGTACTAATCCTAAGCTAGCCTAAGTCTAATCCGGGGTTTACATCTAGGCTAAGCCCAATCCAATTATAAGCCAAGTCTACGCCTAAGCTAAGCCTAAGCCAAGAAAACGCCAAGCGTACACCTAAGACTAACCAAGCATACGCCAGGCGTACGCATAAAGCTAAGCCTAAGCCTACGCCTAAGTGAAGCGTAAGCCAAGAAAACGCCAAGCGTACACCTAAGCCTAAGCCAAGCCTAATCTAAGCCTAATCTCCGAAGCTAAGCCTAAGCCTAAGCCTAAGCAAAGCCTAGCTAAGCCTAAGCTAAACATACGCCAAGCGTACGCCTAAGTCCAAGCCTAAGCCTAAGACAAGTATAAATCAAGCCGACTATGAAATTTTCAAGGTTCCTCTGCCTTGTTTAATTGTTTAACGGGATGCCCTTTCAAACCCAAATCCCCCTTGTTTTGCCGAATGGTTTGGATCAAAAATCGGCCATTAAATCCCCCCAGCCCCTAAATCACGACCACCCCCGTCGGATGGGCAGTGCTGTCGGGACAGTTGGCCTGATGGCACCAAAAAACGTGTGTATCGCCCCTCCGGGGGGTAGAACACGTTGCATGGACAACGCCACAGCACAGATGACGCGCCTTTTTAATTGGTGGCGATCGGGGTGAGGGTGGGCCCTTAGACATCAAGGGCCCCCGAGGTGTG